CTTTATTTTATAGTTATGAACAATATCACTACTCGCGTTGCCTTCCGTCAACTGTAGAATTATGTTTTTTAATTTATCATCTTGGAGCTGTATTCTTTTAAACCAGTCTTCGCTTGAAATTTGATTTATATTTACTATATAGTTCCGTTGATTAGAGCTATTAGAACAAGAAAAAGTAAAACATTTTTGAGCATTTCGAATTAGCGCATCAACATGTTACATACTGTAACGAACCCCCCCCCCCCCATCTTTTTTCTTTTCTACTATATCCCACTTATATTTGTATTTCTTTAGAATCTATATCTGTAAGATATATAAATATATCAAATTTAGGTGACCAGTATAACTTGATCTTTCTAAAGGTTTAAATATAGGCCGTTTAAATTTATGGCGTGATCGTCTTAGTTAGGACCCCTCTTTACGTTATGTTTGTATAGTAACTTAGTTCTTTTAGGTGTATCTTGGAAGAATGAATATTCACGAGAGCAATCGAAAGCTGTTGGTAGAGTCTTATAAGCTAGAGAACCCCGTTCACTAAGACAGAGCTCAAAAAGGTTAAGAACAATAAATTGTCCCTATTCCACTTGTATCTGGTTCACAACAGTCAATTCCTTATTAATTAATCCCTTCCCACTTGGAAAAGGCTCACAATATTTATATCAAATACCAGTTACAAGGGCTTCGCTCTCCCACATTTTAAAAAAAATGTGGAGGAGGTACACGGCCCCACACACGCCGCGCACGGTGAGCGCCAACCATTTTAATGCGCTCCCCCCGAAGGGTACGCAAAGTTGGGAACTGGACCGTAGTCCACAGCAAAATAACTGGCGAACCAGTAAAAGAGGACTTGGCCCCTTGATAGTGCGTAAGCACAAACATCGACCGAAGTCGCGCATGTCAATGCGTGTAAACGCCATACAGAATACGATCAAATCCAGTCACAGTGAATGTACGTCACACGGGTTAGGCAACAATAGGCACACTGACCATAAAAAAAAAGCCTTCCGTGAGCGCCACCACATGCCAGACCGCCGTTCCTGCAGACGTGATGTAAGTGTAAGGCATCACCACCAATTGCATGGTCAGCACGGCCAATTGGCCGCAGAGCGTGTCATGAGTCTACCGCTCACCTCAAGGGAATGGGGTCCCACGTTGCGCGGCTTTCGGCCGCAGCCTTGAGAGCCTCCTCAGATTCTCCCTCCAGCTACCACCCGCATGAGGTCAACACATATGCTCCACCAACCAATACAATGGCAGATATAGCCAATAGGCAGTTATAAGATAATATTAATAATTCGCCATCAGAAAGGGTTTGTGTCACTGACGTTGAGTATATGCATTTTTCGATCATGTTTGTCTCACCCACCAACAAGTTGCCTTCAATCTCTCAAAGGTGGGAACTTTATAGAGATATATTATTAAGTTGTTATATAAAACATCATGGAGGGCAGACAGTCTGCAGCCCCGCAATGAAGGGACCCGACTTGGGCAAAGCTACTTAGGTTGTGAGTCAAACCAAGACGCAGAGAGCGCCATTGAGAATAGCGACCCGCCAAACAACCGTCGTAGAGACGCAATGCTACAGAATGCAACAAGCATCAATACGACTATCGTCGGGCTTACACCATCCCAAGGTCCCCCATACAGTCCCAGCAGACATCACCACCCGCATACCTCCATCGACCAGAACCACAAGATGCATCGAATCAGGTGCAGTACACCCGCAGATCCATCACAAGACGCAATACTGCAAGTAGCAGTAAGCATCAATGCAACTATCATACGGATGGCGCCCCCTCACAACACACCCACATGATCCCTATCGACTTTGGTAACAAAATTTGATAATGTTGTTAACTAAAAATACCACCGACGTATCATAGTAGTACGGTACTAAGACGTCAGTAGCCAAAACTCCACGTATCATAGCGCTATTGCACTAAGACATGAAGTTGAGTATGCTTGCTGCACTTAAAAGTACTACCAAACACACTCACCCTAATCCGAAAGATAGCCGACGTATCATAACGCTATGCGCTAAGACGCCGCCCACAACCGGTAGGGGTGTGCGATGTCCACGGGCAAGTCGTATTGCTACAACAAACCCGCTTACCACCGGCACTAAGATGATATGTCTAGGACACATCGGTTAGTGAGTCCAAGTTTACCTCGGTCTCAGAGGCTGCGAAGCAACCTACACGCTACTATAATAATCCTTTTCAAGTCCCATTTCTTTCAATATAATGCTTTTACATATTTGAGACCTTCCACATATTTGCTTTATTTCATAGACCATACTACTGTATGTCTTATTCATATGGGACTTCAAGTCATAACTCTGCTATCATAATGCTTATGCATCATAGAGACCTTCTATATTAATGCTTTGGTTCGTCAGACCTTACTATGTTAAGTCCCTAATATAGGACTAGTCATTGTGCAACCTTAGTACTAGCAGTCGGTCAGCCGACCACCCCATATATATGTACAACCTTGGGTATGTGTCTCCGACAACGCCCCAATATAAGGGAACATTACAAGAACACGTTCATTAACTTAGAAATTTTCCAATTATTACACGAACACCTTCATCAACTTAGAAAATTTTAATCCATTTTTTCTATTATATTACAAATGTTATTTATCTTTGTTATTGCAATATAATCGCCTTGTATTTATATGATTTGATACATTTTGAACATTTTAAGCAGGTTTTTAATAAATTTAGAGATTTTTAGAGACATTTTATGCGTTTACTAATATTATAATATTCAATATTCCAAATGGATATTTTTGAACTTTATGCTTATTATTTGCATTTAATTGTTTAAATTATAATTTCTAAGACATTTTTAAATGTCTGCATAATGAATTTAATTATTATTTATTAATAATAATTATGAGGCGTCACAATCCACCCCCAAATTTTATGTTAATGATCCACATAGTGGAGTCGTTAATATAAAATTTTAGTATTTTGAGAGCATATACACTACACACAAAAAATTGTTTATATATCTGTTCTTTCCTCTTTTAAACTGTTACAATACGGCATATGTTATCAAATCCCCCTGCCCCAGAGAATGGCCGCCACCAACACTCCTTCAACCACAATTATCACATTGTGATAACACCATAATTCAAGTTATTGTATATCGTGTTGTTAATAAAGTTTGCAGTCAATTGTCGATTTCTTATTTTATTAATTTATCTTTAAATCTTTGAAACATTATTTTCGATAGTGTCACACTTTATGTGCATACAATCTAGTTGGATATTTTTTGAGGTCAGTTCGATACCACATAGGATAAATGTGATTGAGCCATTCACCCTGACCCAACTCCCATATTTATTTAATAAAAATGATTACAAAATTATCTTACGATCTATATTTACAACTCTTCATTATATATTAATAACGTTCTAGTATCATATAACAAATCTCTTGCTCATAACTTTAATAATTTTAGACCTTTAACTTAAACAATTATTTCCATGGGCCACCCACAAAACCCTTTTATGTTACAATATTTATTTAATTACTCTAATTTATACAAAAAGAAATTATTATTTAAAATATTTTAATAAGTGAATAGCATTAAAATTCCTCTAATTTCGTTTGTCTCTGGATTTGCAAAGGTATATACATTGTCAAATGGTACGGCTGCTATTACATAAGGCCCTTCATATGCCAAATTGAACTTACTCATAACTTTATTATCAGCGTCTGATCTACTAGATCTTGAAATTTTTACTAAGTCACCAATATTATATTTTATTAATCTATTTCGCTTATCAAATTTTATGTTTCTTATTCGACTTGCCTCATTTAAATTTTTACGCACTTGTTGTCTAATTTGTTCGACATTATGTTTTTCTTTGCTTTTGGAAATTACTTTGTCAAAAGACATCTCATTAGACTCACCATAAAGAATTTCACAAGGCGTGAAGCCTGTACTATTGTGATAAGAATTATTATACAATTCTTCTAACTTCGGCAATATTAATGCCCAATCTTTGTGGTTAGTATGACAAAGCGTCCTAAATAATCTGCTCAACTCTTTATTTACTCGCTCTGTTGTATTTGGTCTAGGATTTCTAACTGTGGTATATATTGGCTTTATATTTAATTCACTCATTGATTGTTTCCAGTGATTACTTACGATCTGTTTTCCATTATCTGTCATTATTGCCTTGGGCTTTATAATCTCAACAAAATGCTTTACTTTTGTTACAACAGACTTTGCTGTTGACTGTTTTAAAGGATATAATTTGATAAATTTACTGAATGAATCTTGAATGACAAATATGAAAGTGTAACCAAAGGTACCTGATACAAGCGGTCCATGTAAGTCTGCCATGAGTATATCGCCAATGTTTTCTGTTATTATAGATTTGTAGGGACCCACATATGTTATATTGCTTTTCTTAGATAACTGACATAAATGACAAGCCCTTAATTGGTTTTTAATATCTTTTGTTAAACCTTTCCAAAAGAATCTGTCTCTCACATATTTAATTACCTTATAGGGTCCTTGATGACCCATTTCGACATGCACTTGATTTATAATATCTTGTCTCAATGCTTTAGGTAAATATATTACTTCTTGTAAATTCGTTTTGTAATATAATACATCATTTTTCAAACTATATCTTTTAAATTTATTGTTTTGTTTTATTATGGAAGTATTTAATGTCTTTAACTTTTCAATAATAGCCAACGACTCTGAATCTTGTAATTGATATACTGTTAAGGATTTTAATTTTTCTATCAACTCAATATTCGGTTCGCTCTCTGTGTAAGCAATTTATAACTATTATTTTTATCCTCTTGTATTAAATCGCCATCAGGAGGATAACGTGATAGCACATCTGCAACAATATTACGTCTACCCGATATATGCTGTACTTCATAATTAAATTGTTCTATATACAAAATCCATCGGGTTACTCTACCATTGAATAACTTCATATTATTAATAAACAATAATGCTTTATGATCAGTTTAGTATTATTACTTTACTGCCCCTCAAATATGTTTCAAATTTCTTTAGGCAGCTTATTACAGCATAAAACTCTTGTTCAGTAACAGACCAATTTAATTCGGGGCCTTTTAAGGCTTTACTATGATAGCCTAAAATTCTCATTTCATTATTATCATCTATCTGATATAGTACTCCGGCCATACCCACACCGGAACAATCTGTTTGTAAATAATACGGCTTATTAAAGTCTGGATGATGCAATTGTATTGTATTAATAAATTGTTGTTTTATAAAATCAAATGCCTTCTGTTCTTTACCGCTCCATTGGAACTTTCGTCCCTTTTTAAGTAATTCACAGAGCGGTATTATGCTCTCGCTGTAATTTGGTATAAACCTTCTATAAAAATTGCATAGACCTAAAAAGGCCCTTAATTGTTTAATCTTTTTAGGTGCTGGAAACTCTTGGATCGCTCGAATCTTATCGGGATCTGTCTTTATGCCTTCTGTTGAAATTATAAAACCCAGCATTTTAATTTCTTTACAAATAAATTCACATTTCTGCAAGTTACACGTTAAGCCAGCTTTGTTCAATTTACTTAAAACAATATCAATGTGCTCCAAATGTTTATCTAACGTTCCTGTTGTAATAATGGCTAGATCATCTAAATAGTTCACACAAAATTCTTGGACTTCTGGTCCTAATATTAAATTCATGGCTCTGCTAAAGCTTCCTACTGATGTTTTTAATCCTTGCGGCAAAACATTATATACATATGACTTTCCATTGAATGTGAATCCAGTATATTTTCTACCATCTTTATTTATCGGAATTTGAAAATATGCATTATTTAAGTCAATGGTAGTGATATAATTCGCTCCGTGAAATGAATTCAAAATATCTAATTGTATAGGTGGTTTCTCTGTTTCTGCAACCATTTTCTTATTTATGCTTCTGGCATCAAGCAGAACTCTAATTGAGCCGTCTTTTTTAAGAGTGAATGTCAATGGACTACTGTAAGGCGTTGATGTCCTTGTGATGATACCAGCTTGTTCCATTTCATTTAACTTTTCTTCCATTTTCGCTCTATATGCATATGGAATGGGATAGGACCTAGTAACTATAGGTTCATCATCGATCATTTCAATTTTATGCTCATAGCAATTGGCTCTTCCCAATTTGCTCGAAAACATATTCTTATGCTTTTCCAAAACCTTACTAAGTTTTGCCCTTTCAGAGACCTCCAATGTAGATCCTATTTTTATATTTATTAAGGGATCATCGGTACATTGTTTGATGCAGTTATTATGTAATACAGATTTATTATTATATTTGAAAGGTATAAAGTAGTCTTTGTTTTTCAGTTTAAATTCTATTCCAACAGTAGTATTTCTCAAATCCATCAATATTTTATTTCTCTTGAGCCAGTCAAAGCCTAATATTAAAGGTCTTATTAAATTACCTACAATTAAAGTTTGTGTTTCAAAGACTACTTCATCTATCTTTATAGGCAATATGATCATCTGTTGTATTTTTGTGCTGCGCTGCCCAACAGCACCTTTTATTTGCATTGCTTTAACTGGCATTATTGATATTTTACGATTATTATCTTTAATTTGTAAATATAAACTTTCTGAAATGCATGTAACATCGCTCCCAGTGTCAAGGAGCGCGTCTATTTCTTTGTCAAATATTGAAACTTTAATTTCAGATCTCATATTCCCTATAAATTCCCTTTGATATTTATCTTCGTCTTCCTCGAAGACGGTTTGCACGAATAACTCCGTTATGGGCAAGTCCGACCTGGCTTTTAAGGTGTTTAATATGCTATTTACATTGTCGTTATAACCAAGGCCTTCTCTGTTAAAATTTGCTTTTAAAGTAATAGGTTTTCGCAACCCTCTATTGTTTTTACCCAATGTTTGACCAGGTCGCCAACCCAGTTTTAATAACATATTTAATGCTTTGTTCCCTTTTACATTGTAAGGGGTCGAATTGGGAACTAGTTCGACCTCTACAGCTCTAAATTTGGCTCAGGGGCCGTAACATCAGGTTGGTCATTAGTGAAATGTATTTCATGTACTTCATTAACCTTCTTTTTTCCCTCTTCGGGTTTACGCCATATTTTGTATGATTGTTGTATTTCTTTATGTTTTTGCTCCGTATTATTATTAAACTTCCTCCTTTTCTCATTATAGTAAGGTTCACGACCTTCATCTTGTTTGTCGATGTCATCTAAGTTTCTTCAGAAATCTGTCGTGTCTATTATTGTCTCAATATTAGCTATTCTCCATAATTGCTGCACAGCTTTAGGATAATGTCTGATTACATCAGTTACTAATTGTTTTTCAGGTATCGGATATGATAATGTTTGTGCCTTCTCAACCACATAAAGAAAATAACTAACCATGGTGGGGTGTGTACTTCTATTCCATTTATTTTGCACAAGGAATCTCTTTACTTTATTTTGTTCTTCTTCACCCCAAAACACTCTTAGGAAGTCAGCTTTAAAATCATCAAAAGTTGTCCAACGCACATTATTAATGCGAGCCCAATACTTGGCTTCACCTACTAAGCACTCTTGTGCAATCGAAATTTCGAGACCATTAGATGGAACTTTCTTTAAATAATTGGTGAGATCTTCCAAAAATGATACTGGATGAGTATTTCCATTTCCGAATTTCGGCTTTTCTATTGTTACATTATGTACATTATATACAATATTTTGTCTAGGATCATTTACATGAGAGGTGCTCGCCCCGGACACCTCTCCTTGATTTATTTTAATTTGGTAATCTTTCGTTTGGTTAATAAATTTTTCCTCAAGATCCTTTATTTTAACCTCCAAGGTTTTCACTGCATTCTTAATTAATTTCTGAAGCATTTTCATCTCATCTTTAGGCTTAGCCTTAATTGAGGTTTTTTTTTTTTTTACACTTTTTGTGTCCTTCACTTACTTTAATTGAGTTTTTCCACTTATTTCACTTTATAATATATAGTATTGCAGTTTTTTTTTTTTTTTTTTTTTTACACCTGTTGTGTCCTTCGCTTAGTTTAATTGAGTCTTTCCACTTATTTCACTTTTTATTATTTCGCTCCGTTATGCACACACCTCCTATATTATTACTCAATTTTAATATTTAAGCCCCACCCCCAGACTCTCAACCACCCCCAGCAAACACCACTCTCCAAGACACCTCTCCATTTCACTGACAACAAATTGTAGGCATATAGCCTACCTCATAATTTTATATTACCGGCCTCCTATTTAAAATTTAACCTCCATCCTGGTCACGGCACCAAATTGTAACGAACCCCCCCCCCATCTTTTTTCTTTTCTACTATATCCCACTTATATTTGTATTTCTTTAGAATCTATATCTGTAAGATATATAAATATATCAAATTTACGTGACCAGTATAACTTGATCTTTCTAAAGGTTTAAATATAGGCCGTTTAAATTTATGGCGTGATCGTCTTAGTTAGGACCCCTCTTTACGTTATGTTTGTATAGTAACTTAGTTCTTTTAGGTGTATCTTGGAAGAATGAATATTCACGAGAGCAATCGAAAGCTGTTGGTAGAGTCTTATAAGCTAGAGAACCCCGTTCACTAAGACAGAACTCAAAAAGGTTAAGAACAATAAATTGTCCTTATTCCTCTTGTATCTGGTTCACAACAGTCAATTCCTTATTAATTAATCCCTTCCCGCTTGGAAAAGGCTCACAATATTTATATCAAATACCAGTTACAAGGGCTTCGCTCTCCCACATTTTAAAAAAAATGTGGAGGAGGTACACGGCCCCACACACGCCGCGCACGGTGAGCGCCAACCATTTTAATGCGCTCCCCCCGAAGGGTACGCAAAGTTGGGAACTGGACCGTAGTCCACAGCAAAATAACTGGCGAACCAGTAAAAGAGGACTTGGCCCCTTGATAGTGCGTAAGCACAAACATCGACCGAAGTCGCGCATGTCAATGCGTGTAAACGCCATACAGAATACGATCAAATCCAGTCACAGTGAATGTACGTCACACGGGTTAGGCAACAATAGGCACACTGACCATAAAAAAAAGCCTTCCGTGAGCGCCACCACATGCCAGACCGCCGTTCCTGCAGACGTGATGTAAGTGTAAGGCATCACCACCAATTGCATGGTCAGCACGGCCAATTGGCCGCAGAGCGTGTCATGAGTCTACCGCTCACCTCAAGGGAATGGGGTCCCACGTTGCGCGGCTTTCGGCCGCAGCCTTGAGAGCCTCCTCAGATTCTCCCTCCAGCTACCACCCGCATGAGGTCAACACATTTGCTCCACCAACCAATACAATGGCAGATATAGCCAATAGGCAGTTATAAGATAATATTAATAATTCGCCATCAGAAAGGGTTTGTGTCACTGACGTTGAGTATATGCATTTTTCGATCATGTTTGTCTCACCCACCAACAAGTTGCCTTCAATCTCTCAAAGGTGGGAACTTTATAGAGATATATTATTAAGTTGTTATATAAAACATCATGGAGGGCAGACAGTCTGCAGCCCCGCAATGAAGGGACCCGACTTGGGCAAAGCTACTTAGGTTGTGAGTCAAACCAAGACGCAGAGAGCGCCATTGAGAATAGCGACCCGCCAAACAACCGTCGTAGAGACGCAATGCTACAGAATGCAACAAGCATCAATACGACTATCGTCGGGCTTACACCATCCCAAGGTCCCCCATACAGTCCCAGCAGACATCACCACCCGCATACCTCCATCGACCAGAACCACAAGATGCATCGAATCAGGTGCAGTACACCCGCAGATCCATCACAAGACGCAATACTGCAAGTAGCAGTAAGCATCAATGCAACTATCATACGGATGGCGCCCCCTCACAACACACCCACATGATCCCTATCGACTTTGGTAACAAAATTTGATAATGTTGTTAACTAAAAATACCACCGACGTATCATAGTAGTACGGTACTAAGACGTCAGTAGCCAAAACTCCACGTATCATAGCGCTATTGCACTAAGACATGAAGTTGAGTATGCTTGCTGCACTTAAAAGTACTACCAAACACACTCACCCTAATCCGAAAGATAGCCGACGTATCATAACGCTATGCGCTAAGACGCCGCCCACAACCGGTAGGGGTGTGCGATGTCCACGGGCAAGTCGTATTGCTACAACAAACCCGCTTACCACCGGCACTAAGATGATATGTCTAGGACACATCGGTTAGTGAGTCCAAGTTTACCTCGGTCTCAGAGGCTGCGAAGCAACCTACACGCCACTATAATAATCCTTTTCAAGTCCCATTTCTTTCAATATAATGCTTTTACATATTTGAGACCTTCCACATATTTGCTTTATTTCATAGACCATACTACTGTATGTCTTATTCATATGGGACTTCAAGTCATAACTCTGCTATCATAATGCTTATGCATCATAGAGACCTTCTATATTAATGCTTTGGTTCGTCAGACCTTACTATGTTAAGTCCCTAATATAGGACTAGTCATTGTGCAACCTTAGTACTAGCAGTCGGTCAGCCGACCACCCCATATATATGTACAACCTTGGGTATGTGTCTCCGACAACGCCCCAATATAAGGGAACATTACAAGAACACGTTCATTAACTTAGAAATTTTCCAATTATTACACGAACACCTTCATCAACTTAGAAAATTTTAATCCATTTTTTCTATTATATTACAAATGTTATTTATCTTTGTTATTGCAATATAATCGCCTTGTATTTATATGATTTGATACATTTTGAACATTTTAAGCAGGTTTTTAATAAATTTAGAGATTTTTAGAGACATTTTATGCGTTTACTAATATTATAATATTCAATATTCCAAATGGATATTTTTGAACTTTATGCTTATTATTTGCATTTAATTGTTTAAATTATAATTTCTAAGACATTTTTAAATGTCTGCATAATGAATTTAATTATTATTTATTAATAATAATTATGAGGCGTCACAATACGATTACCAGGTCTATATTCTATTTGAATATCATATTCTTGGTTAGATAGCCACCATCGAGCAACCCTAGGAACTAGATCTTTTTTTAACAACGTATAGCGTACAGCGGAACAGTCAGTGACTATTTTAATAGGCTTACCATAAACATAAACACGAAAATGTTTTAAAGACTCAACTACTACCAATGTTTCTAGCTCGTAACTGTGACTGTGTAATTTGTAACAAAATACTACCTATTCCAAGCTTACTAGCATCTGTATGTATTTCACATGATAAATTAGGATCGAACAAGGCTAAAACTGGCATAGAACATAATTTTTCTTTCAATGTATTAAAACTTTGCGCCTGAATATCGTTCCAACACCAAACGAAATTCGTTTTGGTTAAGTCTGTAAGCAGTTTTCCTAAAATAGCGAACTGACATATGTATTTCCTAAAATAGCTACACAGTCCCGAAAATTGCCGTAGCTCGTGTAAATTTGTGGGTACAGAAAATTTTTCTATCGCTTGTATTTTATAGTTACCGGGCCTTATGCCCTCTACACTTATCTCGTGTCCTAAAAATGACACTTCAGACTTTAAAAAACGAACATTTCTTTATATTAAGATTAAGATCGCATCTTCGCAGTTGAACAAAAACTTTTTCTAATAACTATAATCCAGCATATTCTGAGACTCTAGATAAAAGTATGTCATCCACGAACGCAACAATTTCATCATTTCCTACTAGATTAACTAGTTTCTGTATAACGCGCATAAAAACTGTGGCGCATTAGCAAGTCCAAATGGAACACTTAAATATTCATATAATCCATCAGGTGTAACAAACGCTGTCTTACGTACAGATTCATTATCAATTTTGATGTGATGATATCCAGAATATAAGTTATAAGATTATTGCATTAAGATCCCTATAATCTATGCAACCGATAATCACCATTTTTTTTCGCACAAGGATAATAGGCGAAGCATATTCTGAGCTAGATTCCCTTATAATTTCACGTTCAAGCAACTCTTTTATTTTTTTTGCTACAATATCCCTTTCGGTATAAGCTAACCTATAAGGCTTTTTATTTATTGGTTTATCTGTAGTTAAATTTATGTGCATCACTCCCAAACTAGTGAGGCCTATTTCAGCTGCAGAGATAGCAAAACAGTCACCATAATCACGAAGTAAACAAAATAATCTATCTTTGAAGCAATCCTCTTAACAACCAACATTTATTTCGGAATATTTAACCCTCCGTGCACCAGGTGGGGTTTGACAAACCCCAGTCCTTGAAGTTTCGCAATAATTTTAAAACTGTGGACGCACCAAAGCCAAAGTTCTCAGTAGCTGGAATTGGAACGTTGCTGCTCCGATCAGTGGCGCTAAGTCAGTCCAGCAGCAACTTCCAGACGAGCTACATGCGCTTAAAGTACGTATGGGCGTCACACACCCCACCTCGTACGGCACGTTGATAAAGAGGTAAGATATTTATTCGATGTAATTTATGTATATTTTTACTTATGTGTGTTTAATTTATGTATCTTTAGTATTTTTAATGGATATTAATTCGTTACAGATAATAGTTTACAAGAAAAATGGCGTATATCAAGAAAGTTGATATATTACAAGCATTTTTAGACGAAGGAGACAAGAATTAGAATTTGTAGGTTTAGGACCGGGATCTACAGGTGAATCTGAATTTTTGTATTCAGAGTGACACGAACAGCAAAATTCGATGCAGAAATACTTTCTTCTAGTTTTTAAAGTGACGACGATGTGCTACTTTCAGAGATTCACCCGTCTAGACAAAGGTATTATATTGGCAAAGATAAGACAGCGAAGTGGCAAAATAAACCATGCAGAAGCAATGTTCGCTGTAGAATAGAAAGCACAAACATTTGCCTGGTGGTATTGCTTTGATAAAAGGCCACTTAAACTCCAGAAGGCAGAACCAAATGTTTCCAAGTAGGTCCCTTGGAAGCTTTTGGTTCTAGAATTGCTAAATATTTGATGTTTTGCCTGAAAATTAAACTAAACGCTTAGCAAAAATGTCTAATGCTCAAAAAGGATGCTTAAGTTGCCCTAGAAATAAAGATCGTATAACAAAATACTCACGTACAAAATGTTACGTGCCAATATATATGGAGCATACCTAACTGATTTTTTTGTCAAGACGTGGTCAATTGAACACCGATGATCTCAATTCAAATTTATCTTTCCTGTGTTCAATATATGTTTAATTATTAAAAAATATATTGTTATTTCTAAAATTAAAATGATTGTGATAATAAAAAGTGCCATTTTAAATTAATACGTAAGAAAATGACTGTTAAGTTGCATATATTAGAGTTGACAGAACAGAACAGAAGTTGTGTTTTTTTGTTCTTTTATAATAATAAATATTTTAATACATACTTTCTATTCTGAGTTTTACTTAAACCTGATTATTATTATGTATTTATAAATACCTAATATTTAATTCCGCCAAAAAAACAAAAAAATATGTAAATTTTATTACTTTTTATTTTGGGGTTTGTCACACCCCACCTAGTATGGGACGAGACTTTTAGTCACCTGGTACACGGAGGGTTAATACCACCCACAATATCACTTTCCTTCGTCACCTGTGATACATTTCTCAAAGAAAATATTTTTGAATTCACCTCAGTCATCTCCTCACATCTCTCCGCTCGTGTCACAACCTCTCCTTTTTTCCACATAAATGGCACTACACCAACATTGCAAACCTTCAAATAACCAGTACCATTCCGAATAACCATACTAGCGATTGCATAGTCTACCTTACCCATACTATGCTGCCTTGGTTTAGTACAAACATTTCCCTCATTTACAACTTCTACCAATACTTTAACTAACGTATCTCCAACTAGCACCTCTGTATCCTCAATTACTCTAACTCTAAATCGGCTGACTGCTTCGACAATATCTAATGCACCTAGGATTCTCTCAGGACATGATGTCATAGATATCTTTACTCCATTCTTTGTTACGTTAAGCTCTATTCTTTTGTTGTTAATAATAGGTTGCCCTATTATAAGTGCAAAATTTCCAAAATCAATATTAGCAATAACTGCAGTCATTTCCATTTCAACTTCGTCGACAGAAAGGGTAAATCGGAATTCTCCACTAGCTCGTGCTTGTCCATTGAATCCTTTTAATATAATATTCGTAGGTTTTATTTGTACTTTGATCGCTTTCGCAGCATCTTGCGCCATCACATTTAATTCACTACCCGTGTCCAAATATGCTCTCATAAATACCCCATTTACTCGTGCAGTCTATTTACATGCATCATTTAATTTTGACATAATTTGGATATATTTTTCTTGTTCAGCAGTTGCTATGTATCCTGTTGGCGTAGATGTACAATGATTCTCAACGTTCCACTTTTCCACATCTAAAACATTTCCTCTTTTCAGAAAGCTTATAATTAGGTGGAACATGACCGCTCTCATTGCACCTATATCAGATTGGTGGTGATCGACTTGTGCCAGTATCTTTTATGTAGGTTATCATTATATCTGAAGTTCGCTTATTTATTGGCTTACTACTCATAGCACTTACAGACGTGTTATTGATAGTAGTACTTTGATAATTATCGAAAGCATACAGAAAACCTTCGTATAAAACATCAGGGTTAAAACACTGAAAAGCTTGAGCATTGGTCTGCAATTCATGTGGTAAGCCTCTAATAATACATTTTTTTATAGGATAAGGGTGAATAACGAGCATACAGTCCACCTGATGATAAGTGGTTGCTGTGGCCCATAGACATCTACATTTATCCTCGATTACGAATCAAAATGCAGATGCGTTGTCACCCGTGAGGACTAAGATGGAATGCCTCGTTTCCAGTAAAAAAAAAACATGACACAGATGCTTTTTCGCTTAACTGACATCTATAACACATAGCTAGTTTTTCTTTAAAATACTTTGTCATTGTTTCAGTGTTCATCATTTTACGATTCATTAGTTCGTCCAGTAAAAATTCATATTTACATTATTTTCTATTCGTCCCATGTATGATTGTATGAATCAAGACAATTAAACCAGTTTCGCGCCTGACCTTGTAATTTTGATTGTAAGTTAAAAGATTTTAAATCATCACTCCAATTATAAATGGCACCTAATTGCTCAATTTTCTTTATCCAGGTTTTAACATTTACGTCTTTATTTCCCGGGTCGAATTCAGGAATAAGATTTTCGGTTTTATATAATCCTTTAGATGTTGGCTCTGTTATATCGTTTTTAATACTTCTCATAGCTTCTACTACTTTTCTATCAATTAAAGTTTTTATTGATTGACTATAAGATTGTGCTTCCTCATTTACGTCCTGCTCACTTGATTCTAATCTCCTACATTTAGATTTTATATGCGTGCCACCATATTTAAAATTTCGCCTCATATTATTTTTCCGTGCGGCTTACTATCCCACTTCTGAACTGTAACGGCGTAATTTACTTTTCAAATGAAATAAACAACTTTTGACTTTCTATAATTACAATATAATATCTTTGTAAAAATATGCAACGTCCATGAAACACAAATTTTACAATTGAATTAAACTACTTTTACGGATTTTATCGCGTTTAATTAAGTTATTTTATATTTCCGAAGTTTAGGTTGCTTTCCAGCAACCGTGGTCACGGGGGACTGAGGTGATTGACGTCCCGATATCAAAGTTAACCCAGAATACCTTCATCTTTTTAATTATTAATTTTGGTCCGATCTACGCAGAATGAACTAACTGTGTCTTGAAGTCTTGCAGTGGTATGCTTGGGTTTAGTTTTAATTTTATGAATTACGGGATCCCAAGCAGGTGGTAGTACCCAGCCTCCCTCTCTATTGAAATTAGGATGTTTTTTAATTTCAATAGCCTCACGTATCATCCTTGGCACGAATCGATGTTCTTTCGCGAAAACTTGTGGTTTATCAAATCTAATGTAATGGCGGGGACCGTCTAGGATATGATCACAAACTGCAGACTTCCCGGAACATTGGTGCTTCACGTCAGCTATGTGTTCTTTTACGCGGGTTTTTATTCATCGGTTTGTTTGCCCTATATATGAGAGACCACATTCACAATCAACCTTGTATACTCCTGCATCTTGTAGAGGAATATTGCACTTGACGGATGGTAAGAAGTGACTAAACTTCTTCGGCGGCTTGAAGAATGTTCTAATAGAAGCTCGCTTCAAGATGTAGCCAATCTTGTCTGTGACACCTCTGACATATGGTAGTACAGCAGGCACACGCTCGACTGTGGCCGGCTTCACTCGGTCACTGTGATGTAGGCGCGGAACCCGAAGCTTGTTGTCGTGCAGAACCTGCTTGACGTGCTGAAGCTCGGCGGCCAGGTGTTTGCTGTCACAGATCCCTCGTGCTCTTTGCAACAAAGATTTGCCCACGGTTGCTAACTGTGAAGGGTGATGGTGGGATTCACCGTTTAAGTATCGGTTTGTATGGGTCTTTTTTCTATACACAGTGTGACCAATGGTGTTATTAGGATTTCTAATGACTAACATCTAGGAAAGATAAAGAATTATTTGCCTCTAACTCCATAGTAAATTGAATTTTAGAGTTTATGGAATTAAGATGTTCTAAAAATGCAGTTACTTTGTCTGATGGTAAAATTGTGAAAGTATCGTCTACGTACCGCTTATAGAAACTTGGAGTTACTGGTGCAGTAAGCAGGGCTTTCTCCTCAAAGTCCTTCATGAAAATATCGGCGACAATGGGAGATACCGGTGAGCCCATCGCAACACCATCTACTTGCTTATAAAACTGTTCCTTCCACAATTCATAGCCAGATATAAGGCAATGTCTGAGTAATACTGCATATTCTGCTGGCATGTTGTTTTCCTCTAGTTTTCCTAGTTATAATTGAGATGCAGTCTTCAACAGGTAGGCATGTAAATAGAGACTGAACATCAAAACTGACCATAGTCTCATTTTCAGTAAGACGCAGGTCTTTTATCTCACTGACAAAATGGTATGAATCCTTAGTGTGTGCTCTTGTATGTCCTCTGAGTTGTATTGGTGTTGTTAGATTGTTAGGTGTTGTTGCTAGCAATTGAATGTGTAGCTAAATTAATGAGAGATACAAAGAGAAAAAGAAGAAGACGGGCTTGGGTAAGATATTGGATTAGTAGAAGGGATGATTTTGGAGCCAGTAATTGTCTGCTTAAAGAAATGCGTCAAGAAGATCCTGATGGTTACAAAAACCATTTGAGAATGCTCCCAGAAAAATTTGATGAATTGTTAGGAAAAATTAGTGACAAAATAACAAAAAATGATACTCACATGCGAAATGCCATCCCAGCAAAAACCAAATTGGAAATAACATTAAGATTTTTAGCTACAGGTGATTCATTTGTATCTTTAGAAGCATTGTACAGAGTAGGAAAATCGACGATTTACGGAGTGGAAGGCTGAGAATATAAAGTGGACAATCGAGACCTTTCTGTACATAGCAAAACTTGAATTTTGGATTGCATATCCAGAGCGTTATTTAATGGCAATAATCTTAACTGAGCAGCAACACTTTTTCCGGAATAATAAAGCTCATCTTTTTCTTTTTCATTTGATCCATGATTATTGATTGCAGTAGTAATATTTTCCAGACGTTGAATTACAGTTAAGGTTTCGTTTTGCTCTACACGTTTTTTCTTAGTCTGACTAGTTTTGTGTGGTCGGTTGACTGCTGCAGTGCGAGAGGAGGATTGCTGGTCCTGGAGAGAGGGTGATGGTACTTGCTCGTTTGTAATGCTTGCTTGATTGTACGAGTGTGATTGGTCGACTGCGACAGAGAATGTTTCGTTGTTTGGTGGGTTGACTGTTTGAGAGGAGGATTGCTGGTCTGATGAAGTACCTCTTTGAGAGCGTGGTGTTTCTGTTTCAGTGTTCGATTGAGAGGACTGTTGTACCTGTAAATTTTACTTTTTTTATTAAGTGTTGCAGGTAATATTCGTTACTTTATATGTGTTAACAGACATTTTGTTTTCAGATTCCTACGAGGCAGGAATGGAAGGAGATAGGAAATGGCTTTCGAACCAAATGGAACTTTCCAGGCTGTATTGGAGCTATCGATGGCAAACACATAAATATTATTGCTCTTGACGAAACATCAAATTAGTTTAATTATAAAGGAAGCCACAGCATAGTGCTACTAGCATTGGTGGATGACGATTACTGTTTTTCTTATATTGATATAGGACGCAACGGCAGAGCTTCAGATGGAGGAGTGTTTGAAAGATCAGTCTTGAAACAAGCACTAGAAAATAAGAAAATAATTATTTAGATATTCCTGAACATTCTGTTATAGTTGGAGATGCAGCTTTTCCCTTATATAAATATCTCATGAAAGCGTTTCCTACCGGGGCCACCCGAAGATAAAATGTTTTAATTATCGTTTGTCAAGGGCCAGGCGAATTGTAGAAAATGCGTTCGGTATCCTTGTAACAAGATTCCGAATTTTGAATCATTTATAGCTCTAAAACAAGAAAAAGTTGACGTCATAGTATTAGCGGCATGTTCTTTACACAATTGGTTGCGGAAAACCACTAATATTTATATCACACAAAGGTGTGTGGATTATGAAGATCTTCAACTCAGTACTATTATTAACGGCTTCTGGCGTGGTCAGTTACAAAGATCTTTACGGAATTTATCAGGAACACGAAATAATCGATCGTCTAGAGAAGCGATACTTATTAGAAATAAATATCAGTTAATTAAAAATCAACAAATTAAAAAAATGTTAATTATATCACATACAAAAATTAATTTAAACAATCGCTGTAACAGCCATCGAGTTTACATATAACAAAATATTAATTTATTTAAAACGTTGAAAGAAAAAAAATAATTTTAATTTTTCATAATATAACTTTAAGACAGTACCGTCGGCTTTTAGAAACTAAAAATAAAATGAATTATCTATAACCCTTTTTAAAATTTGGATTCCAAAAAAAAATAAAAACGACGAAATGTGTCACAGTCTTAGATTATATAATTTTATATAATCTAAGGTCTCAATGTTATTTAACTATAAATTATGGAGAAATCAAGTACGTAAAAAAAATGTAATCTATTATGGTATATCATTATTTCATTAATTTTTTTGACAGAACACAGTAATAAAATAATTTATAACTATATATAACTGAACAAAAGTGAATATAATATCGTCTTATGCCTCAATAGAAGTGACACATAAGTGTATATGTAACATTATTTATAATAGTGCGTTAT